AAATAAAATAAAACAAAATGTCAATAATTCCTACATGGATTACATGTTGAAATGAAAATAAAGAAAATACTTTGGATGTCTTGGCTTTAATAAGATATACTATTAAAATTAATGCCACCTGTTTCTTTTTGTTTAATGTGGCTACTGGAACACTTAGTTACACATTCCACCCCAGTTAAGTTTCTACCGGATGTTGGCACCCGCTGCTCACTGCTCACTGCTCACGCAAACTGGGACGTTCCCGGGGTTAGCACCGAAAGGCACCCCTCACTATGTTCCAGGAACCCCCTCTGTCCTGAGTAAACCAGGATGGTTGGTCACTCAGAAGCATTGCAAGGGCTGGACAGGGTGACGTGGGAGAGACGCTGCCCTTTGGAGCCTCAGTTTCCCCATCTGTGCACTGGTATTGCCAACGCGGGGCTTTCAAGGTGGTGACAGCTGATTAGTGCAGCTGAAGGAAGGGGCCTGGCACATAGGGGGAGCTCAAATGTAGCAGTCCATCCTGCTTGGTATGGGGGCCCCCTAGCCCCACCCTCCAGGCCTCCCCCAGCTCCTGCAGGTGCTCAGGAGCTGGGAACCAGTGGAAGAAACAGTAGGGTAGACTCGGGGTGCTTTCCTGGGGGTCTTGGTATTGAAATGAGTCCCTACTGCCCCCATATCAAAACCACCATTCCTCCCTCCCTAAGAAATCGCAGAAGCATTCAAAGGAATGGCTCCTGGCTCCTCCTTCTCCCTCCTCCCTTCTGTTCTTCCTCAACCCTTCTCCCCTGTGGTGGCTCCCACAGCTCTTCCACTTGCTGGGCACTTCCGGGAGATGGGCATTGTGGAAACAAGGTTCTTTACATACAACTGAGGCTCAGAGAGGCCAAACTGGAGCCTGAGGTCACACAGCATAAGCGGCAGGGCTGGAGTTCGAACCCAGGGTTGCTATTGTAGAGTCTGGGAACCTCCAGGGAAAAGACAGACAAAGAACTAATGAAGGAACAAAACTCCTTCCTGTCTCAGGTGCAAAGGCATGGCCCGGGGACTCTCCTGAATGGCCCACCTATCCCCTTGGCCACCTTCTTTACGAGGTGTCTGCATTATACGGCATCTCAGGAACCCATACATATGCTCCGTACACATCCAGTGAAAATAGCATAGTGTTATTAACCTCCCACTCTACAGGTGAGGAGACTGAGTCCCTGAGAAGGCCAGATGTGGCCCCAAGTCACGGCGAGTGGCTGAGCTGGGGTTGTAACCAGGTGCTGCTCAGTGCTCTGGTATGACAAGGCCAGGCCTTGCCCGTGCGTGGCAGGAGAAGTAATGTTTGCTCTGTGCCTTGTTGTTTACAGAGCCTTGTCATCCACCTTATCTCATTTATCTTCCCGACAACCAGAGAGGTGGGCAAATGTTTTCAATAACATTTTAGTTTACAGATGAAGAAACCCAGAGGGACTTGGCCAAGGCCACAGGCAGTGAAGTAAAACACAGATTCAGACTTCAGTCTGCCTCGTGACACAGCCCAAGACACTGACATGAGCTGCCGGGACTTGGTTCATGGCTCAGGGAGTCTCGTAGGTCCCTGGGGAGACAGTGTCCATCTGCCCACCCCACCCCGCTAGAGGGGGAGTGTGGGATAGGCCCCAGGAGGAGTGTCCGCACAGGGGTGAGGCTGGGGAGGCTGTCTCTACTTCTGGATTTTCTCTTCTTTTCCTTAAAAACCAGGCGGAAAGTTTTGGCTGAGAGTAAATGTGCCTGTCCCACAGCAGGGAGTCCAGCCCAGGGCTGTAAAGGGCTTTCACTTTAAAGTCAGACAAACCAGGATTCTGACTCCACCACCTTCAGCTTTGTGACTCTGGGCAAGTGACTTAACCTCTCTGAGGCACAAATAATGGCGGAGCAGTGCTTTTCGTTCCTGCTGCATATCAGAATCACTTGGGGGAGAATTTTAAGATACACTAACACCCAGGCCCCCCGTCTCAGAGATTCTGACATCACTGGGCTGCAGCATGGCTGGACAAGGGAGATTTTCACTGGCGATTCCCACGTGCTGTGGGGCTGGACGTCTCTGTCCCTGCTGCTGTTGGGAGGTGAGCTGAGATACAGCGTGGAAACCACGTGACCTACAGAGGTGGTCAGCACGTTAGACCTCTTTCCACCCTACTAGCCTGTCTTTTTGGAAGCCACATTCTTGACGCTGTCACAGCAAGCCACGAGGTCTAAAGGAGAAATACGTCTGCAGAAGAGCCAGACCACCAGGGCCTCAAACTCGAAGAACCATCAACTCGGCCAGATGGGTGAACCTCAATGTCATCTTGCTCATTTACTGCAACTTGGTTTCCCCAACTTGGTTCTATGACCTCTGCAACTTCCGTGCCGACTACTGAGAACCGTCCAGTAAATAGTCAGAGAGGACTATTCTGCAGCCTTTGGAAATGGTTACAGAGCTGGGAGGCAGTGTGGCAACTCTTTATGATATAAATGAAATTATGGGGGATGCTGTGCTTGAAGTGTGGGCCTATGGGCAGAAACTGGAAAGGGATCAGGAAGAAAAGATAAAGAAAGTAGAATGATTGCTGGGGCCAAGGAATCTTAGACGGATTTTTAAAACTCAAACTTCTATTATCTATATAATAATCAATAATAATCATAAGTAAATATAATTTGAGATGAGAGTTTTCCGTGTTGTGTTTTGTTCACTGATGAATTGCAAACGCTTAGCCCAGGGCCTGGGACACAGTAATAGCTCAGTAAATATTAATCAGATGAGTGAATATGACTCTTGTTGCTTTGAGACTTTCCTGATAGATTCTTAAAACATTTTTGAGCATGAACGGCTTCTCTTAGCTTTTGTGTCATGTGCATATGGATTAGCATGCCTTCCATACATTTAAATTTTTGATGACAATTTTTTGAATTGGCCAAAGTTGAACACAGAGCCCTGTGGCACACCACTGGAGATCTTTCCTGGACCTGTGATTCCTCTAAGGGCTTCTCCCAGGCCCTTCAGCATTCTGAGATGTGGTTTTGCAGCATGAGGAGGCCTGTAGACACCAAGCTTCCAGGGGCTGCCCGATCAACCCCTGCTTCCAGGAACCTCCTAGGAGGTATGTAGTTCAAGTTCATTGCCCTCAACAGACAGGTTGGAAGCAGCCCTGGGGCTGGCCACCCAACCTGTTTTCTCTCTCTGGCATGTGGCTCCTGCCCTTTGGCTCTGGGGGCAAAGGCATCACTCTCTTGGTTTCTTTTGCCCCATATGCTGCTAAAAATCCCTGTTTGCCACCGTTACCAGGTTCCGTAAACCCTTTGGGCCTCGCCGTCTCTGGCAGTGGAGTCAGGGCCTAAGTGTGCTACTTCAGTGCCATGTGAGCTAGACCTTTCCCCAGCGACAGGACTGAAGAATAGCCCCAGTGCAGAAGAGCACTTTTGCCCAGCAATGAACTCCTAGAAGCCCCAGAAAGAGGGCTTCGGGTCCCACTGCCATGGGCAGCAAGATCTAGACCATCTCCAGGGGCTCCCTCTGCCTTCAGGCCCGCCCCAACCTCATGGACCTGGCGGCCCGCTGACAGCCAGCAGGAGATGACCTGGAAGGACCTCTCTCACCTGCCTCTCACCAGCCTCCTCCAGGCGCCCATTTGCACGATGCCGTCCTCACCTGCTGCCTCCCTGCTCAGCCTGTGATGTCCTGCCTTGCTTTCTGCTGGTTCTGGGCAGACCTCTCTAGATCCATCTCCAATTCTCTGCTGCTCAGACGAAGTGGAGTTACCTGGAGCTTGCATTTCCTGAGCTCTACTGTGTGCTGGGTTTACACTAAGGACTTTATAAGAATGTTCTTCTGTTAACGGATGGGGGTCCCTGCCCCCACAAACCAGAGCAGACGAGCCAACAAGTGCTTGACGGCTAAGTGTCCCGAGTTAGGGTGAAAAAAAATAAGAGGGAGATGGGGGCGGTGGGTGTCAGAGAAGCCCCTCTGAAGAGGTGGCACTTCAGTTGAGGTAGGCTTGGTCCCTGGAGAATTGGGAGGGGAGGCGAGGAAAGGCAGGGCAGAGACTCACGTGCAGAAGCCTGAGGGCAGGAATGGGGTTACTTCTTTGAGGAACTGGAGGAAGGCGGGAAGAGCTCTGAGGGGCTGGCCAAGGCCAAGGCCAGGCCATGCAGAGCCTTGGAGGACAGAGAGACAACTTTGGCTGTTATTGGGGCTGCACTGGGCGCCCGGCACAGCTTCAAGCTGGGGAGTGGCAGGACTGGGCAGAGTGAAGTAGCGAGCATGTGGAAGACATGGAGGCCATTCAGTGTGAGTTGGCAGGGCCTTGGACCAGGATGCTGGAGGTTTAGACAGAGAATGGATGGCTGCTTGACCCATTTTGGAGCAGGTGTCAACGGGACTTGGTGATGGATTGAAACTGGAGAATGAGCGGTGTGGCTTGCTAAATGTGAAACAACTGATTCTCCCCAAAGAGGAGCTCTGGTTTGTCGCATCTGCCAATTCCTATAGTGTAAATATTCCTGCCATGCCGTATTTCAAGCCACCGATGTGATGTGCAGAGTTGGGAAGAGATGTGCACAGCTGGCTCTCACCACGTTAAGCCTGTTCCAGCCACCATGGGGGGTGAGCGAGAGGGGAGAGAAGTATCCAGAATGCCAGCCATTTCTCTGGTCTGAGCGGTGCAGTAGGTGATGAGGGGCATCTACTGGTGGAGAAGATTTAGAGGGGGAGAGGCTGGCGCAGGTGGACCAAGAGTTGTCCTTCCATGCTAAGATGCCTGTAGACTTCCCCAGCTAGGTACAGAGGTTGGAGCATGGGGTCCAAGGGATCTTGGTTGCGGTGTAAGTGTGGGTACCGTTAGCAAAGAGATGACGTCGAAAGCCTGGGGATCAGAGGAGGAAGGGGAGGAGGAGGGAGAAGAAGCCAGGATGGAGCAGAGGCCAGGATGGAGCCGAGAGGAACGGCGTCATCCCACCAGCCTGTTTAGCTGCTCGCACCTCCCTGCCCCGTGAGGAAGCAGGCCTGCTCCTTCTTGGAGCTCAGCAATGCTAAGCGGATGCATCTTCACAGGGCGGGTAACTGCCCCCTTCCACTTGTGACAGGGCGGGTGACTGTCCCCTTCTGGCTGTGATTCTGGAGCCTCATGGACTAGAGGCAGACCCTGCGAGGACCTTGCAAAGCAGCTTAGAGGCCTCACGGGTTCGGGGCCAAGGTTACAGGGCAACCGAGAGAGGAAGGGAGGATGGGACCACAGGCAGAGAGCGGGCGAGCCAGAGAGAATAGAGAAACAGATAAAATGATGATCATGAAAGCTATGACTTATTATTACATCCTCACCAGATGCCAGGCCAGTGCTCAGAGCTAGATAAAATGATGATCATGAAAGCTATGACTTATTACATCCTCACCAGATGCCAGGCCGGTGCTCAGAGCTTTGTGTAAAATTAATCTTCACATCACCCCCCACGGCAGGTAGTATTATTAGCACATTTACAGATGGGTAAACAAAGAGACAGCAAGGGGCCGAGCCAGGCAGCGCGATGGCGGTGCCCTCCCTGCTGCCTCTCTTCTCCATTTCACCTAGTTCCTTCCCCAACACAAGACAGAGCCTTCTATGTGAGTGGTTTTGGTTTCTGAGGGAATGAGACCTATTTTGTCCCCCTGGATACCACCCTGAGTTGAGGCCAGACTGAACCACAGCTGGCTTCTGGTTAGTCACCACTGTCATAATTTTCACCATTATCCCCATCATCACCATCCCCGTTACCTTCACCGTCAGCGTCGCTGAATAGTAGGATAACAGGGGATTGTTTTTTATCTGTATTTCCAATTTTTCTGCCATGACCAAGCACTGCTTGTGCATTTTAAGAGCGGGACAGTGTGATGGTGGCGCTGAGGCACTGTGATGACCGCTGGGACAAGGGGATGCCTGTCTGAATGGGCGAGAGCCCTGCCTCGCTCACAGGGCTGCACCCAGCAGGACCTGACAGGCCCCGGGCCCTTTGGGCTGGCTTCTTCTCTCCAGCATGCTGGGCAGCCTGCCACCTGACCCCCACTGTGGCCTGCCCTCTGCAGCGCAGGGGGGCCGCCAGCGGGCATAGTCAGGTCCAGACAGGGCCTTGGAGGCTCTGTGTGTTTGGGGCATGGGTGGAGGTGCAGGAGCAGCCTGGCTTTCTGGACGTGGAGGGAAGAGTTGCTAACATGCCTGCTTCATGAGCGGGGGTCCCCAGCCATCTCCATCTCAGGACAATTCCTGCACTAGAGACAATGACGCTCGAATGGTGGAATCTGAGGGCAAAACATCATCAAGCTGGGCCTGGCTCCACTCTCCTCACAAGTCTGTGCAAAGATGGGCTTGTCCATGTCTGTCTGTCAAATGTTCCAGACCTGACTCGATGCCACTGTGGCCTTCTTTCTCTTCCAGTACCCCACCCCCAACCCCTACCCTCTATGGTGGGTGGTTCCTGTCTCTCCAGCCAGGGGCAGGATCAGATCTCCCCCTGCTCCTGTGCCCTTCCTCACCCTGGGGTCTCTGTGGCCCACGGGGAGGGAGCCTAGCCATTTCCTGAACAGTCAGCACAGAATCCTGGGCACAGGATGTCTGCGCTCGATAGGAGCTGTCCCAGGAGACCAATGCCCCATTTCCCAGTGTAGATGCTGAGGTCCAGCGCGGGGGCGTGGTTTATCCAGGGTCACACATAGGAATGTGTCTTGGAATTCAGCCCCCTGCTGCTCCCTGCTTCAGTGACTCACTCAGTAAGAATTTATGTCCCTTGCTGTGCTCAGAGGTGGGCATTCGATGGTGGAGGAAAAGACACAGGTCTTGCCCTTAAGGAGATGATGATCCAGGAGGGAAGTAAACAAATAAGTACGTGAATAATGTACTATCACTAACTGACCAGCCTACCCATGTCCGGAAAAGCCACCCTGAGAGGGACAGCTGGGCTCTAAAAGGAAAGTGGGTAAGGACTGGTTCGCTTAGAAAAGGCCTTCCGGGTGAAGCCAACGGCAGGTACAAAGGCCCTGAGGTTGGACAGAGTCTTTGAGAAATGGAAAGGGGTGTATATCAGTTGAGGGTATCAGTTGAAGCTGGAGAGGCTGACAGCAGCCAAATCACCTAGGACTTGGTGGCTATGGAAGGAGTTTGGTCTTTTTCCCAAGGGCAAAGAGAAGACGCCAGAGGAGGGCGACAGGATCAGACCTGCATTTTGAGAAGATGGTGGGGAGAATGAGGGCAAGCAGGGGTCAGGAGCTGCGGCATTTGTCCCAAGAAAGCATCAACGCCATGGGCATTTCCTACGCCCAGGAAGATGCTCCATTTGGGACAGGCCAGATTCCAGGATGCTCTGTGTGTATGTGTGTGAATGTGTGTGCATGTGTGTGCATGTCTGCGTAGATGTGTGTGTGAGTGTGAGTGTGTGTGCGTGTGTTGCAGAGTGTGAGGGGCAGACTGTAGAGTTTGCAATTGCAGTGGGTGAAGCTTGCCGTGGGGATAAAAGTCAAGGGTACATGGGTGTGGCTTCTCCTCTTTCCCAAGGCCCAAAGGCTCTCTCTGCCCCGAGTCTATGTGGCCTGTCATGGGCTGGGGCAGCCACCCCCATGAGCTCCCTCTTCCTTCTTCTGGAACTGGCATGTGTGGCTTCAGGGACATAAAGGCCTGGGTCTCTGGCTGGGGTGAAGGAGGCTAGG